GGCATTGCAACCTAGAAAAAGCAGTACGTCCAGCAACTGTAATCCGCACATCATATTGAGAAACTTTATGGCGCACACACTCAGATGAAGCTGCGGCGCGGTGGATGGCCCCGCTAGCTCTAACCACCAGGTTCAACTGAGCATCCAGCAATCACATGAAGCAGTGACGACACTCCAGTCCTCCGTGGGAGTGGCCTAGGCCATGGCCACGATTTCATCGGAGTTTTCACCATCAACACATCGCAGGCGGCTACTATCTCGCTGTGTTTACCTTTCGCAGCCGCAGTGCCCATGGCGCCCCCTGTATTCAAAATACTTGTAATATGTATTTAAATAACAAACCTAAACTAATTGACTTGTTAAACACATGTTTAATAAACATTTTGTAGGTTTAACGCACTACGCACGAATAATTTACACGTTTAACTCGCTTTAGGTAATATTTTTTTAAGTGACGTCACTTTCGTGCGGCGCAGAAGCCATTCCTGTGTGGGGATGGCTGCTGCGCCGCGCGGCGCACGAGACGCTGCCTTTTCAGATACAACGTTACCGTGGTAGCGTAGGTGTACGTAGTGTACGTACAACATGGCGGTACTCTCGGACGCCCGCTACGAAGTGATTTTGGTGTAGTTGTTCAAAGATTCACTTAGTTCAGAGCAAACGACTGTTTAAAGTGGCTCCGCTTGCCTTCAGTTAGCTTTGATGACCGAGTATCACGGATAAGTTTGTGTAGTTTTTGAGATAACTTTCCATTTCGAACGTGCTTAGGCCTAACTACAAGTTCGATGTAAACAAATCAGCAACATAAATGCTTTCGCCTTTGGTGCGTGGTTCGTATTTACTTACTTTTGTTACTACTAAAATAAACTTGTAACAATGCTTCGCGCGGTGGCACACGCAAACATTCTCGTTTCCTTTTCCCTTTTACTGTTTTAACTTAATAACCATACAATAGATGGCGCCATCATGCCAGCGGGGGCACCTAAACGCTATCTCACCTAACTATAAAACGCCGTCCACAACGATCGTTTTTTTGCACGGTAACGCCATTCCTTTAATAATTGTCTATAGGGGAGCCCACGCCGAGGGAGCTGCTGCCGGGCCTGGCGCTGTCCAAAGTCTGTATCCAGAAGTCTGGGTAGTGATCACAAAAGTATCAAGCTAAGTTTTGGAAGAGCAGTAGAGGGAAGGAGACAAGATGAGCAACTACAAAAAAAATTTTTATTCAGAAAGGCAAATAAAAATAGCTACTAAACAAATTGAGAAAGTAATCATGAGGAAAATAAAACAGCGTGGACATATACGCATCTAATTGGACTTTGAGCCAGAGCTTGCTAAGGCACGTGACAAGTCACCCCGGAAAAGAAGACGCAAACCCAAGAGTTGGTGGGATGAGGAAGTTTAGAGAGCCATAGCAAAACGTCAGGAAGCCTCTAGGGAACACAGAGATGCTAAGCAGCGGGGTGAACCGACAGATGATGTTGAAAGAAAATGGGATATCTTTCTAAGCTGTAGAAGGGATGTATCCTTTCTGATCAATGAAAAGATTGGAAGAAAGGGAGCTCAGTGGCTGGCAGAAGTACATAAAAAAGATAGAAAGGCAGCTGCGAAATTTTGTTACCATCTAAACTCCCCAAGAAATGAGACGAGCCTAGAGCAGAGGTTTATAACTACAGCCCAAGGTGCTAGGCAAGAAGGGGACGAAGCTATTGAATATATAAGAACAAGGGTAACAGAAAATTTCAACAAAGAAGTGTTTATGCATCACAATACACAAGGATGAATCAAGTGACGCAATTTATTTATTTATTTTCCCAAATACTGTTAGCCTTTCGGCTGTTACAGGGGTGGGACATACTAAGAATGACAAACATCAATACATTCAAATCATACAGCAATTTAAACAGCAACACTTGAACTTGTAAATGTTACATGACATATGATTGGAAACACCGGCAATGAGGCTGAAAGAAAAACAGTGCAGTCGTAGTAAGCATACAAATGAATTGCAATAAATTAACATAGTAGACCATGCTTACAAAAAATATATTTGAGCCCTTCCTCAAATTTTCCAGGGAATCACAATGAACCAGTGGTAATGGCAAAGCATTCCACTGACGAATTGTTTTTGGAAAAAATGAATTTGCATATACATTGACACGCTGTTGTGGCACTTCGTATGTGTAATCGTTTACACTTCTTAGGTTTCTTCCACGGCCTGGCGTTAAGTATTTTGTTGTGTTTATGTTTAATTTATTTTTTGACAATAAAAACAAGAACTTCATCCTTGCCAATCGCCGTCGTTCAGCTAAAGTGGGCAGTTGAAGAGAGCGTAGCATTTCTGTTACTGACTCAGTCGAGGAGTACTTTGAAAGAATAAACCTGGCAGCTCGCCTTTGTACTCTTTCTAGCATATTAATTAGGCCGATTTCTGAGGGATCCCACACAATGCTGGCATATTCCAATGTTGGCCGAATATACGTAAGATATGCTGCTAGCTTAACGGGAGTAGTAGGAATTAAGTCTTAATTTTCTTCGCAAGTACCATAGTTTTCTCTCCACCACCGCGCAAATGTTTTCCGAATGGGTCCTCCAATTTAGATTACTGGATATTGTTACACCTAAATATTATATTTCATTGACGGTAGACAGGCGGGTAGAACATAGAAAGTAATTGGAATAGAAGACACGCTTACTTTTGTTTGTGATGCGCAAAGCAACTGTTTTAGTTTGATTTATTTCCATTTTACATTCAGTGCACCAATTATTGACAGCATCAAGAATATCATTAAACGTTTTTTGGTCAGCTTCACTGTGTATTTCTTTCTAAATTAGGCAGTCGTCTGCAAAAAGTCGCACTGTAGTACTTCTATCTATGCCGCATGAAATGTCATTTATGTAAGTTAAGAATGATATCGGTCCTAAAACTGAACCTTGCGGTACACCTGAGGTAACGCTTAATAACTCAGGTTTGAAGCCGTTTATTTCTACATATTGTGTTCTGCCTGTCAGGTACGCACTTATCCACTGTATTATGTTATAATTTATGCCTAGGTGTGCTAACTTATTAATTAACTCCCTGTGGGGAACCTTGTCAAAGGCTTTGGAGAAGTCGAGACATATTGCGTCAATCTGAACACTATTATTTAGGGCACGCGTGAAGTCATCGACTGTTTCTATTAATTGGGTTACAGTGGATAAATTCTGCCGAAAACCATGCTGATTAGTAAAAAAATGTTTTTGCACCCTCAAGATACGTATACATAGCTTTGGATATAATATGCTCTAAAAGCTTGCAGCATACACAGGTGAGGGAAATTGGACGGTAATTTTCCACCTTTTGTTGGTCTCCACCCTTATGCGTTGGCACGACCTTCGCCACAAGCCAGTCGTCTGGGACACGCTTTTGCTCTATTGAGGCATTATATATTATGTATAATAGTGCGCAACCCATTCCGCATACCTTCGCAGTATATCATTTGGTATGCCATCTGGTCCGATCGACTTTTTCACGTTCATGTTCAGTAATAATGATACAATGCCTTCATAAGTGATCTGAACGTCAGGCATAACTGACAACTGAGAAGGAAGTGGCGTGGATGCATCACCATTATCAGGACAAGCAGTAAACACTGACTGGAAAAATCTGTTGTGTAGGTAAGCGATGGAAGAGCAGTCTGTCACCAATTCATCATTGACAACAAGAGAATGCACGCGTCTTGAGTGGTCTTCCTTCTGAGATAAAGGACGCCAAAAACGATGGGGGGAAGATTTCACAAATGTCGGCAATATTTCTTCGTAATACTTTGTTTTTGATTCTTTCAGTTCAGCACGCAGAAGCCTTGATAAATTGCGTATCTTGCATTGATCTTTGTTTACTTTTTGCCTCTGGCGGTTAATGGCGCGCTTCAAATGTATTATTTTCCTATTCATCCAAGGATTCTGTTTATTTTGTATCTTTTTTTGCAAGGGCACAAATTTGATGATACATAGCGTGACAATTTCTTTAAACCTTATCCACATCTTATTGACGTCACTTTCCTCACTGAACGCATCCAAAGAAAACGACAAGTAATCAATTATGCTTGTATCATCGGCCTTGCTGAAGTTGCGCGCATGCCTGAAGCTTTCTTTTTTGCATGGCAAGGCACCATCAATGATTATCTCAACTGAAACAAGTTTGTAGTCCGACAATCCATGTTCAATTGCAACGTTGTATGTGTCGATTCGCCCATCAATAAAAACTAGATCCAGTATGGAATGCGGATACCCTGTTTCACGTGTACTGTCAGTGACGACCTGCGTGAGGTCATGGCTGAATGCCATGTCTAAAAGCCGTTGGCAGTCTATAGCTTCCTTCGATTTAGTTGAGAATGTGGTCCAATTAATTCCAGGAAGATTGAAATCTCCCGCAATAACCATTCTACGATTCCGGGTAGCAATACCATCAAGGTATTGCTGCAAACTTTCTAGGTATGAAGTAGGGCGCCTGGAGGCCGGTAAACGGCACCCAAAACAAGGGAAGTTTTGGGTAATTTTATTTCTACCCATACACTTTCACGGTGGGATATTCCTTCCATATAACAGTTGCTTCAACATCTTCTGCAAGTAGGATCGCCACACCACCACCTCATGTATCGCGGTCTTTCCTAAATATTTTGTAGCCGGGTGGTACGATTTCGCTATCCGCTATTTCCGGTCGCAGCCACGTTTCTGTGACGGTGATTACGTGTAGGTTATAGCTTGCTATTATATATTCTAGATCACTAACTTTATTGATAAGGCTGTGAGCATTGAGATTAATTAAGCGAAGGCTGCATGCACTTGACTGCGAATGGCATCAGTCATCGTCGTCAGAGTGATGTGGTTTTTTCTTTGTATGCTTAAGCTTAACTCGGCAGTTTTTGTCGTAGTCCCAGGAATACACGTCTTTGTCTATGACCAACTTATCGTAATTCAAACGCATGCGTTTTCCTGCATCTCTTTCTTTTTTTCCTGATTCCCATAATAGCTTACGCTTGGCTAGGGTTTCCTTGCAAAAGTCGTCCCCAACTGATATACTGCTGCCTTTTAGCTTTTTTGCAATTTTTGCAAACTGTTAACTTCTCTCGGAAGTCGTATAACTTGATAATGACCGGACGCGGCGAACGGCCCCCTTTTCGGCCTATTCTGTGGATCCGTTCAACTGTTTTTAGTTCGACGCCAAGCCTCCGAACAAAAATGTCCTGCAGTACCGCTTGTTCCAGGTCTTCTGTGGTTTCTGCCTCGCCCTCTTCAACCCGAAAGACCAAAAGATTATTCCGTCTACTCCTATCCTTTAAGCTTATTAGCCTTTCTTCTTGTCTTGATAGTGTCACGTTAAGGTTGGTGACGGTTTTCGTTAGCTGGCCTATTTTTTTACCCTGATCTTTGATTTTTTGAATGGCGTCTTCCATTTTAGTCATTCTTTCTCTTAGAGCGCTCAGATCTGCCTTAATTGACTTCTGGCCTTCAGACAGTTCCTTTAGGAGGACTTTCACATCTGGACCTGGGTTGAGTTCAACATCGTCAGACAATAGCAGGCACAAAGAGGAAAATCCAGAGAACAGTACACTTGGGCACGGCAGCACAACAACAAATCTGTTGTCAGTTTTGTAACAGTATTCTGAGTAGAAACTGACCTGTTCGAGCAACAGAAGCCGCAGATTAGGCGACATTGCTTTCGCAGTGCTGCCGTGCCCACTGAACGCTGCTGGCAGGGGGTCCAACTTTAGAGGTCCCGCGAAGAACCGCTCTATGCGCGTTCCAGGGTGCCTGCGCTCGAGGGTAGCGTCGACGATGTGCTCGTGGTCGATAACAGTGGTGTCAGCAGCTGGTACGGCCACGCATGCGCTGTATGCCCCAGCTTGTAGTGATCCGCAGACGAAGAAAACCTGTTCGAGCAACAGAAGCCGCAGATTAGGCGACATTGCTTTCGCAGTGCTGCCGTGCCGTGCAATGATTCCATTGTCACAACGAGAGTGGGAAAGGGCTAAGAAAATGGTTACTTGTATAGTACATCAACATGCCCAGATGGCATTCCAAATATGATGATAAAGACATTAGGTTCGAAGACTAAGCAGGCTTTGAGAGAGGCAGTGAGCAAACTAATAATTGATGGTGAAGTTCCCGATGAATGGAAACTTAGCAAGATGAGCATGATCTATAAAGGAAATGGGGACAAAGCTGACATAAACAACTACCGTCCTATAACAGTGACATCAGTGGTCTACAGGTTGGCGATGCAGATTATAAAAGAACGAATGCAGACATGGATAGAGGATGAGGGGGTGCTGGGGGAACTGCAGAATGGGTTTCAGAAACACAGCAGGTTAGGAGACAATCTGTTCTCAGTGACGCAGTGCATCGAAATAGCAGAAAAGGAACACAGGCCCCTGTGGCTAGCATTTTTGGATATCAAGGGAAGCGTACGATAGCGTGATTCAAGAGGATTTGCTAAGAATACTGGACACACTATGTGTGGAACAACGAGTCACTAATCTTCTAAAGGATATCTATAAAGGTAACAAGGCAGTTATAAAGTGGCAAAACAGGTATCCAAGCCTGCAGAGGTAAAACGGGGACTTAGGCAGGGGCGTTCTCTCTCACCCTTGTTATTCTTAATGTACCTGCAAGGATTAGAGGCCAAATTAGAGGGAAGTGGTCTGGGCTTCAACCTCTCTTTCGTCAAACAAGGAAAACTCATTGAACAGGGTCTACCAGCATTGACGTACGCAGATGATATATTGGTAATGGCCGACAACTAGGAAAATTTGCCGAGATTGATGGACATGTGCGGTAATAGGGGAGATAGGTTAGATTTCAGATTCAGTAAGGAAAAAAACAGCAGTCATGATTTTCAATGAAAACGAAGGTTGTGCGCTTAGGATACAGGAAGTCACGCTAGAGATAGCAGATAAATACAAATATCTGGGCGTATGGATAAGCAATGGGACCGAGTACCTAAGGGAACTCGAAATATACGTGATGACTAAAGGTAACAGGATTGCAGCAGTGATGAAAAATAGGGCACTGAGGAATTACAATAGGTATGACGTTGTGAGAGCAATATAGAAAGGGGTTATGGTTCCTGGTCTGACGTTCGGGAATGTGATCTAGTGCATGGGATCAGATGTTCAAATTAAGCAACGAGGAATAAATAGGTAGGCTTGCTTTCGGAGTTCACAGGAATACACTAAATTAGGGAGTACAAGGTGATATGGGATGGACATCCTTCGAGGGCAGGGAAGTTAGCAGCAAGATAAAATTTGAGAAGCGATTGAGAGAAATGGGGGAGGAGCGTTGGGCTAGGAAGGTTTTCAGTTACTTTTACATGAAGAATGTCGATACAAAATGGAGGAAGCGAACCAGAAAATTGATTGGTAGGTACTTGGAAAACAGCAGGTGGTTAAACCAAAAATAACTATCGGTTAAGAAGAAAGTGAAGAAAACGGAGACATGAGGTGAATTGGTATGATTAAGAAGTCCGCACTGGAGATCTATCAATCTTTTAAGCAGGAAATAGCCAAGGAAAGGATCTATGATAATACTCGGTGTAGTTCTCTACTGTTTGAGGCCAGGACGGGAGTATTGCGAACCAAGACATATCGGGCCAAATACGAAGGGGTAGACACGGTATGCAGTGCATGTGGAGAGGAGGAGAAAACTGCCGAACATTTGATAATGTTCTGTAAAGGGATTCACCTTATAATTAAGGATGATTGCGCGGAGTTTTTCAAAGTACTGGGGTATAGGGGCAGGGATGGCAAAGTAGTCTTTAAGCGGGTACAATTAACTAGAAGCAGGTTATCTGATTGGTGGCTAAAGTCAAGGCAGGAGTGAAAATTGAACCCTTCACTGCAAAGTAACTGTCCTCAACATCTCTATTTCAAGGGAAAAAAATAAATCTAGTTTTTGGTTCACTATGTATTACGGCTTGGTGGCGTAAGCCACCGCCTGATTTAAAGGGTACAGCTATATCAATCCATCCATCTATGCACCACCCAAGGCAGGGATGCGCTGCGCTGGCTGCGCAGATATGGGAATCAACCACGCGCGCGCGGGCAATGTGAAATATTTAAAATATAATCTTTTGCTCGGGCATAGCATCAAATGGCGACCGAGAAAATATTGTGACGGGGGTGTGAGAATGAATGAAATAAATATATTTACAGAGTATACAGGGAGAATCAGGGACAGCCCAGATGGAGGCAAAACAGCATCAACGCGAGCGCGGTCGCTTTCATAGTCCTCGTCGTCTACACTCTAAAAAAAGAGCGAGTAAAAAGGGTGTCTTTTTGCCCCACAACAATAATCGTCATCTATATTGCGTTCCATCCTTGCGCGATTGCCCCACGCCTGGTACATTCCGGTCACGATCGACATGCCCATTATCAGGGTTACATTGCATTCACGATAGGAAAGTGGCCAGCGCCGAGTTTTCAAGAAAGGAAGCGCACGCAAACCTGATGACGATTATTGTAGTGGGACAAAAAGACACCCTTTTTACTCGATATTTTTTTAGAGTGTACCTGATGCTCTCTCGTGTCCGATGTCATGTAACATATAACCCCCCGCCGCTGGCAGCGCTGTCTCGGCGCCTAAAGGAAAGTATGATCATATGCGGAGATGTATGGTTTCAGGCGGGTCACGTGGACAATGTCAGTGGCGGGTGCGGACGACGACGACTGACTGTCCAATGGAGCGGTCTCGTAAATGACCTCGGTAAGCCGGTGTAAAACCTTGTAAGGCCCCGAGTAGCGAGACAGGAGCTTCGAAAAGAGACCAACGTGGCGGCATGGTATCCAGAGGAGGACCAATGAATATGGAGAGTAGTAAACTACTCTGTTATGGCTATCGTAGCGGGCCTTCTGAGAGAGCTGCGAGCCAAGAAGACGTTTCCGTGCGATTTGGCGGGCCACTTGAGCCCGGGCAGTGGCATCCCGGGCGTACTCTGTAACAATTTGCGCAGTTGATGGTAGAAGAGCCTCAAAGGGTAACGCTGGATGGCGGCCGAACAATAAATAGAAGGGGGAGAAGCCAGCGATGTCGTGGCAGTAACGAATCGTATGCGAATGTCACATAAGGCTAAGTACTATCCCAATCAAGGTGATCTTTGGAAACGTACATGGAGAGCATTGTTGTCAAGGTTTGATTTAGGCGCTCGGTAAGACCATTTGTTTGTGGGTGATAGGCCGCAGTGAGCATGTGACGCGTCGAACACGAGCGAAGGATGTCACTTACTACTTTTGAAAGAAATGAGCCACCACGATCGGTCATCAGCTGTCGAGGAGCGTCATGGTGAAGAATTACATCATGAAGCAAGAAGTCCGCGACGTCAGCGGAACAGCTTGTCTGTAGCGCTTGTGTGATAGCGTATCTTGTGACTTAATCAGTCACTACGGCTATCCACTTTTTTCCAGTGAGAGAAGTAGGAAATGGTCCAACGAGATCAAGACCGACGCGGTAGAAGGGGACGGTGGGTATGTATATTGGTCAAAAGCAGCAACGTATCGGTGCACAGAACAGTAAAGGCCTGGCCAGAAGAATCTACGCCGCACGCGATCGTACGTGCGCGTGACCCCGAGATGTCCAGTGGTTTGGGTGTCGTGAAGCTGTTCAAGAACAGCGGATCGGAGTGCCGCAGGAGTTACTAGTAGTAGCTCCAGTCCCTCGGCGCTGGTGTTGCGTCGGTAAAGAATGCCATCGAGTAGAACGAACAAGTGCAGCGACGGGCCTACGTGGGGCAAACGTAGACTCTGCATGATAGACCGCAAGTGGACATCGCTGAGCTGTTCCTTGCGTTTGCCGGTGAAAGCTGACATGGCGAAGACACAAGGGTCAGAATCATGTGCTGAAAGGTCGGATGGGTCTACGGGGTGACGGGATAGACAGTCGGCATCCTGGTGCATTAGGCCAGATTTGTATGCCAGGTCAAAGCTGTATTGTTGTAGTTTCAAGGCCCAATGGCCCAGTCATCCAGTTGGATCTTTGAGGGACGACAGCCAGCACAAGGCATCGTGATCTGTAATTATGCCGAAAAGATGCGGCCAAACAAGTACGGTCGAAATTTTCCGATTTCCCAGACTAGTGCGAGGCACTCGCGCTCTGTAATAGAAAACTTGCTCTCCGAAGGAGAAAGAAGGTGACTGGCATAAGCGATGAGCGATACTGTCCTCGTTGCCGCTGGGCGAGAACAGCACCGATTCCATGTCCGCTGGCATCGGTACATACTTCAGTATCGGCTGATGGGTCGAAATGGACCAAGATGGGTGGGGAAGTAAGTAGTGTTGTAAGGGTGCTGAAGGCAGTTATTTGGTCAGTACCCCAATAAAAAGGCATGTCCTTCTTCAGTAGTTCCGTAAGTGGTCGGGCAATGCCAGCGAAATTCTTCACAAAACGTAGAAAGTAAGAACAAAGGCCGATAAAGCCGCGTACATCTTTTGCGGAACGTGGTATGAAAATATCTTTGACAACTCTAATTTTGTCAGGACCAGGTTGCACGTCTCGAGCACTGACAAGGTGGCCCAGCACAGTGATTTCCCGACGGCCAAAGCGACATTTGGAAGAGTTGAGCTAATGTCCTGCTGTCCGGAAAACCTCAAGAACAGCCGATAGGCGGCTTAGGTGGCTTTCAAATGTAGGTTAAAATACGATGAAGTCATCGAGATAGCACAGGCATGTGGACCGTATCCACGCAGGAGAGATTCCATTATCATTTCGAATGTAGCTGGGGCATTACAAAATCCGAATGGCATAACCTCGAACTGGAAAAGCCCATCCGGTGTAACGAATGCGGTTTTCTCACGGTCTCCATGATCGACAGAAATGCGACAGTATATCCTGATCATAAGTCGATAGATGAAAAGTAGGCAGACCCATGTAGGCAGTCGAG